GAGGAGGAGGAGGAGGGTAGGAGGAGGAGGAGGAGGAGGAGGCGGAGGCGGAGGCGGAGGAGGAGGAGGAGGAGGAGGAGGAGGAGGAGGAGGAGGAGGAGGAGATCGGGGACGTATTTTGAGCGGGTTTTGGCAATTTTCGGGGCTCGCGCAACGGGGGTCAGCGCCAACGGGGGTCAGCCAGGCCCCTTCTGGCCGATCCCCTTGCTTGGAGGCCACGTGGGGCCGCTTCCCCCCTGTCGCCCTTCGGGCGTGTGTTTTTCGGGCCCCCAGGTGGTCCCGGCTGGCCTCAGCAGGCCCCTCGAGTAGTCCAGGCTGGCCTCCACAGGCTGCCCGAGTAGTCTAGGGTCCAGGGCGGGCTCAACACCAACCCCGGGGAGCGGAGCGCGCCAGGGGCGCCGCCAGAGGCGGCGCCAGGGAGTTGAGGCTGCCTCGGACTACTCGGGGGGCCTGTCGAGGCCAGCCGGGACTACTCAGGGGGCGGCCAGTCGAGACAGCGGCAGCACTCGCCCTGCGCTTCTCGTCCTTGCTGGGCCTCCTGGAGGCTTCTCGTCGCCACGGCTGGATCCGCCTCGAAGAACGGGCCAGGATGGGCCACGGGAGGGTTAGATAGTACGTCACAGAAGTTCCCGCTTGTCGTGGATTGAACGTGTATCGGTGAATAGCGCGCAACACTAGTAGCACCAGTTAGCGCTCAAATAGTACCCAATACCCCCCAATAGTGACTAATTGCGCTCAGTAGCGCCATGTGATGGAGATAATGTGTATCCGCCTTGAGTGCGATTGGGTGCGCTTTTGGGCGCCATGGGGACGACCAACAGCCTCCGTGAATTGCTTTCTGAAGAGGTGTCTGGGAACCGATTTTGCAAGGCGGGGATTTACCCATAACCGTCGCCTGGGGGATGGACCCTCGGGGACCTTAGCGGCAAGCGGCGGATATGCGTATATTCGGCTCCCATGGGGCCCAAATACATCCACGTCCACCGTCCGCCGGGTGCCCCAGGACGTCGGTCCCCAGGCGGTGGATCGGAGGTGAGGGGGTGAGTCACCACCCACCAAACCACCCCAACCCAACCCGAAGGCTCAGATTTACCCTCGATTTCTAGTGGGGGGGGGTCGGGAAACATCGAAAAAACACGTATGGAGCCCGTACCCCCCCCAACCCGAAATTCGGGTCTTCGGGTTGGGTTGGGGTGAACTGGTAGGTAGTCAGTGAGGTCGCAGTGGAACGGAGAGCCCCCCGCCGCCGGGAAGTCGGTTTCGGCTTCGTGTTCGTGTCGTGCGTGCGGGCGAGGCGAAGCTGCCTGGGCGGGCGAAAGTCAGGAGGGGCAAAAACACACAGAGACAATTAATCTTCGATTTTCAGAACATATAGGAAAATTTGGAAGTGGGGGGGAAGACGAAAACCCTAAAAATATGGGAAAATATGTGGAACTATTTTATTTGTGTGTATTTATTTGTGTGTCCTTGGGCCCCTTCAGGAATGAACCCTCCTCTGGCTAGGGCGCCGACGGGCCAAAAGACCACCCGCCCTGGGTTGTCTGGCGGTGGCCGGGTGTGTCCCGCGGGTGTCCCGCGGGTGTCCCGCCGGTATCCCGTCGGTGTCCCGTCGGTGTCTTGCAGGTGTCCCGTCGGTGTTCCGTAGTGAGATCGATAGTGAGACCGACAGAGAGACCGATTGTGATATCGATAGTGAGATCGATAGTGATATCGATGGTGAGATCGATAGTGAGATCGATAGTGAGATCGATCGAGTATGACGCTGGTCCCCCCCGAACCTAACACCCGAAGGGTGATTGTATAGTTATGATGTTTATCCGTTCCATAGATTTTGATAGATTTCTAGAGTTGCTTGCAAAGGAGGAGCCTTGTGTACCCTCTTAATTCCGTCTTCAGCGTGCGTCGATTTAGCGTCGATTGGTGTCGAACTAGCGTCGACTAGCGTCGATTCGCAAGAGCCGACAAGATGGTACGGGAGGCTCCCAGGAGCTGCCACCGAACGCCTGCGGGGGCGCGAAGATAATCGCGCTCCGAGCGTCGGGGTCCGGGCCAGAGCGGCCGCCCTCCTCTGAGGGAGCGGCGCGGGGGCGTGAAGACAATCACGCGCCGTGCATCGCGGATTTGGGCGGATTTGGGCGGATTTGGGCGGATTTGGGCGGATTTGGGCGGATTTGGGCGGAGTTGGGCGGATTTGGGCGGATTTGGGCGGATTTGGGCGGATTTGGGCGGGCGGGTGATGTGGGCGCCGGCGGGCGGGCGCTGGCCGGCGGCGCGCGGCGCTCAGCCGTGCTGACCCTACAGCCGCGCGTGAGCCGCCCAGCCCAGGCGCGACACGGACGCCCGCAAACGAGCCAAGGAGGAGACCTTAGACCTTAGACCATCTCATGGAGTCCTGACTGTGCCAACAAGCCGCACTGCATCACTGCCTGAACTCAGACTGCAATTCGACACGCACTAGGGCTCTGAGGCGGGTCACTACGGACCCCACATTCACTCCCTGAGGCGAGACCTTCGCTCACCCCAGCTGAGGCACTGGCCACGTCTGGCAGGCCAGCAGGCACGCAGCCCGCAAATGGCCGCCAGCCCAAAGGCTCAGAGAGCTCCTCTCCTCCCCCGCCCCCGCTCCGACCCACCACCCCTCCCACGACCCTTCCCTCTAGCCTGCAACGGCCTATTATGAGGCAGCACTACAGTCGGGATTGGCGGCAGCCCAGGGTCACTATACGTCGTAGCTGATCGCGATCGGCCTGGACGCTCCAGAATATCTGATGCCACCAATCCTCTAGACATCAACTCCTGGAGCCGCGAACTTCCACTCAAGCTCCGTCTGACTTGTTCACCCAGGCCATACGCTCCCTCTCTATGGGCCCCCGTGGAGCCGATCCCAGAAGAAACTCCCCGCCCTCGGCCTCGATCACCGCCTCCAAGAGCCTCGACGCTTCCACGCCCATCGGCTTGTTGAAGTCGGTCCGCATCATGATGATCGCCCTGTTCTCCTTCTTCAGCGGCTTGCAACGAAAGTACGGAACCGCTCTGCCGATCACTTTCAGCGGGATGTCCTCGCTCATGTACTGCTGCCACTAGTCCTTGCTGTCCAGAACCAGCTGCTTCTCGACCTCTTCCGTAGATCCCGTTGTAGGAGTCCGTGTTGCACAGTACTGCATTGCCGATACGAAAATCTGGAGGTGCGGAGGACCCCTGCCTTTGAAGTCCTGCTCTTCCCCCGCCTGCTGCTTGGCCTTCATGTCCTTGCTCTGCTCGTCGTACTTCTGGCCCGCCACGACCAGGCAAGCTGGAAGCCCTCTGTCGAGGGCGATGTCCCGCCTGAGGAACACGACGCTGGCCACGTCCCCGAGCTCGCGCGTCACGGTGAGCAGGAGGCGCACGACCTGCGCCACGACCTTCGCCACGTCCTTGTTGCCTTTGCCGTCGCCCTTCTTGGCCTGCTTGTTGCCGCTGCCCCCCGTCGGCTGGCCGCCGCTGCCTGCTGCTCCAGCGCTGGGCGGTGCGGTGTCGCCTTCGCGCTTCCTGCCGCTGAGCCACGACGGCAGCACCAGCTCCGCCATCGAGAGCTGCTCGCTGATGTGTAGAGCGTACGGTACTCAGAGGAGGTAACTTCCAAGGAAAATGCTCTGAAGCCAAATGGTTACATAGATCAGGAAGATCGCCAGCTTCGTACAGACACAAGGAACACTTTAAGGATCGAGGCTGCTGTAGTTCCCCCAGTGCCCACGGGAGAGGGAGGGGGAGGAGGGGGAGGAGGGGGCGGAGGAGGCGGAGGAGGAGGAGGAGGAGGAGGAGGGGGAGGAGGAGGAGGGGGAGGAGGAGGAGGAGGAGGAGGAGGAGGAGGAGGAGGAGGAGGAGGAGGAGGAGGAGGAGGAGGAGGAGGAGGGGAGGAGGAGGAGGAGGGAGGAGAGGGGAGGAGGAGGAGGAAGGAGGAGGACCTGCGGAGGAGGAGGAAGGAGGAGGAGGAGGGCCGATTCTAGGAGGATTTGGGTTGGGCGGGAGAGCAGCCGTTGCCTCGACGGGCCCTCCTGCCGAGAGGAGGAGCGCGGGGCGCCCGACGGCCGGGCGCCCTTCTCAGACCTCTGGGGGCGCCTGGGGCTCCTGCACGCGGACGTCGAGGAGGGCTTCAGCGCCGACCAGGCCAGGGGCATGCCTCGATCCGATCGATCCTACTTGGCGGCGCGCAAAAGGGGGTAGGGGGAGGGGGGAAGGCTTCTTAGAAGCAACCCGCTTCTTAGAGCCCTCAGGCGCTTAACGTCCTAATAAGAAGGCCCGCGCACTTCTAAGAAGCAGGGGTGCTTCTAAGAAGCCTTACCCCACCCCCTCCCCCTACCCCCCTCTGCGCGCCGCCAAGCCTCGATCCGATCGATCCGATGCGATGTCGATTCCGGCCAGCCCGATCCGATTCGATTCCCGTGTGTCATGGCACCCAGCCCATATCAGCCGAAAAGGTATGTGACCGAAAAGTGCCAGCGACCGGAAGCGTGCCCGAATTTGTGATCGAAAACGTAGTGTGGCTGAAAGTGCGACTGACATTGAAAATCGCTGGGCCACACTCTGGCGCGTTCTGAAAAAATGGGGCGCTGGTTTCTGTCACACTCGGGCTGATTTTTGGGCCCCGTCTCGGTCGCTACATCCCTCTGATAGAGACGAGGCTGCGTGACATGTATTCCGACGAGCTAATGCTGTCTGAGGCCTTGCATGGCGCTGTTGTGCATCTCGGCGCGGCCGCGCCGATTCGGTTCCGACTCCGTACTGAGGCGGCCTGATTCGACGCACCCTTCGATCCGATTTGATCTCCCCATTCGGCGATGATTGAACACTATTGCGGTCGCAGCGCACCACCGCCCCGACGTGCCCCACCCCGCCCAAGCGTCTCCGTTACCCGGGGCCCCCCCTCCCCTTGGTAACGACCGTGACCAGAAATCCTGCAAAAACAATGTCCAGGGGGTGGTGGACGATTGAAAGTGTACCCCCCCGTGTCCTGGGGGGTCGCCAGGCGGCCTGGCGACCCCCTGGGACAGGGCAGCTTGCGCCCCGTAGCCAGCATATGATTCGCGATGCGGGCGCAGCTGAGAGGGGCCTCTGCTCACTGCAGCCAGCCCGCCAGCCAGCCGATCCTGACTTTCTCCCGCAAGACGTTCTTTTCTGCAATGCGCCTCTTCTTCGGGAGCGGAAAAGACGGGGGTGATGACTAGGGGGGGGTGGATTTCATGGCGCGGGCCATGATTTTTCCTCAGATTTCATGGCGCCTCTTCTGATTTCCTCACGTCCCTGGTCCCCCCGCTGGGCCGCGCACATGGCGCCGGTCATGATTTGCATCCCCCCCTCTTGGACACCCCCCTCTTGGCCGCTCCCGACTTCTGCGGGTTCGTGGGGGCCGACAGGCCCTGCTGAGCGCCATCATGTCCTCCTCGAAGGTGGCGGGCGACGAGCGGGTCGAGGTCCGCGCCGCGGACGGGTCCACCGTGGTGGCGACGCGCCCCGGCCTCCTGCTGAGCGACGTGTCGCACGCGGACGTGCTCCAGGCCGAGAGGCTGACGACTCGGGAGGCCCCCGCTGCCGCGATCGAAAGGTGCTCGGCTGTACACGTCGGTCGGGGGTTGCTGAGCGTGTCCCTGGCACAAAAGGCGTCCCCAGCTTTTCGCTGCTTTTTTTGGGCCCCTGGGGCCTTCTGGGCATCGCGAGGGGTGCTTAGGAGGCCGTGGGGGCCTCCCCAGAAATGCTGGGTGCACCTTGGGCCAGGGACACTTCTGGCAACACGCGAGTCAGTGTGACCCTTCGCCGCAGTGATCTTTGGTGCGGGCTCGTTGGGGTTCCTCGATCTCCGAGTGCGATGCGACATTGGCGGCTTGCGCGCTTGGGCTTGGCCCCGCCCCTCCCCGCCCCCCCCCCCTCCCGTTATTTTCTGCCCCCCAACACGGTGTCCCCGGAAGTCCCGATTCTTTCTCTGGGGTCCGTTTTCCATCCCAAGTCGTTTGTTGACGGTCCCTGGGCTTGGCGAAAGCCCCTAGGGGCAGAAAACGGTCAAACCATCTCGCCGTGCTTTTCGTCACTGCGCGATCCTGTCTGGGCCCTCCTTTCCCGCCCCACCCCCCCTCCGCTCCCCCTGCCCCATACCCGCCTTCCCTACCCCCCCTTCCTACCTCCTCTTCCCTACCTCTCCTCCCCTCCCCCTTCCCCTATCCCCTAGCCCCTTAGCCCCCTCCCCCTATCGCCTAGCGGCTAGGGCCCTCCCCTCCCCCTCCTCCCGGATGGGAGGGAGGGGTAGTATGTCAGATATGACGCGAGCGCACCTAGCTTGTCCCGTCCCCCTCCCCCTATCCCCTGGCCCCCTTCTCCACTAGCCTACCCCCCCTCTCCCTCTGGCGCCTCACGAAAGCCGCGCACCAGAGGTCGCTTTGGCCGAAGCCCAGCGGGGCCTCCTCCTCCTGCGCCTCCTCCTTCTCCTCCTCCTGCGCCTCCTCCTCCTCCTCCGCCTCCTCCGCCTCCGCCTCCTCCGCCTCCGCCTCCTCGCCTCCTCCTCCTCCTCCTCCTCCTCCGCCTCCTTCCCCGCCTCCTCCTCCTCTCCTCCTCCACCTCCTCTCCTCCTCGCCTCCTCCTCCTCCTCCTCTCTCCTCCACCGCCTCGCTCCTCCTCCTCCTCCTCCTCCTCCTCCTCCTCCTCCTCCCCCTCCTCCTCCTGCTCCTCCTCCTCCTCCTCCTCCTCCTCCTCCTCCTCCTCCTCCTCCTCCTCCTCCTCCTCCTCCTCTTCCCCGTGCTCCTCCTCCTCCTCCTCCTCCTCCTCCTCCTTCTCCTCCTCCTCCTCCTCCTCTCTCCTCCTCCTCCTCCTCCTCCTCCTCCTCCTCCTCCTCCTCCTCCTCCTCCTCCTCCTCCTCCTCCTCCCCCTCCTCAAGCGAGGTACGGCCGGCGTGCCGTGTGGGGGGGCGGCTCGGTGCTGGCGGCCAGTGGGCTCTTCGTGGCGGGGGAGCTTGCGAAGGGCCCCGATGGGGTCCCGCGCTGGCACAACCTGCTCTACCTGCCCGATCTGTGAGGCCCCCTCCTTCCTCCGCTTCCTCCTGCTCCTCTTCTCCTCGATCCTCATCCTCGATCCTCCTCGATCGTCCTCCTCCTCCTCCTCCTCCTCCTCGTCCTCCTCCTCGATCCTCTCCTCCTCCTGCTCCCCTGCTCGTGCTCCTCCTCCTGCTCCTCCTCCTCCTCCTCCTCCTCCCTCGATCCTCGATCCTCGATCCTCGATCCTCGATCCTCGATCCTCCTTCTCCTCCGCCTGGGCCCTGTTCGCATCGCCCCGCGCTCGGCGGCGGCTGCGATCCAGGCGCTGCAACCTCTTCACAGCGTGCGTCGTCGCCCGGCCACGGGCCCCCAGGGCCGTCCCAGGTCGATCCGGCCCGAAGAACGCCGCAGACCCAGAACCCCTCGAGTCATGAAAAACTGACGACGGGAGGTCTTTACGGTAGGTTTGCGTCGTGTCGACCAGCGGCGACCCCAGCGCGGGCGTTCAAGGTTGAACGCCGCCGGCGACCCAGAATCGATCGATGTTGAACGATCGGACCTTGCGGCAGCGGCCGATCGTTCAAGGTTGAACGATCCAGCGCGGTGTCAGGAACCAACGCCAGGGTCGACACGGCACGAACCTGCAGTAGCTATTCTCGGCCTTTCGGGGACTTCGCTGGGCCTCGGGATCTTCAGAAAACGACTCGGGATGGAAAGCCGGTCCCAGGGAATGTGTCGAGACCTTTGGGGGTCGACGTTGCGAAAAAAAACATGACGTCGGAGTCTGGGTCGGGGGTTTCTAAAAGGTGCCCCTGGCCCAAGGTGCCTCCAACTTTTCGCTCCATTTTGCAGCCCTTGGGGGCTCTCTGGACCTCGTGAGTGGTGCTCTGGCGGCCGTGGGGGCCCAGGGCTCCTGTCGTGACTCTTCGCGCGTTGCGTATTGTTTTCGCAGCGCCAGATCTCAGGCCCCGTGTCCCGCCGCAGGCGGCGCGCCGGGCCTCTGGCAGCCGGAGCCCTGCAGGGCGCTCCTGCAAGGCCTGCAGGGCACGTACAGGGCCGCCCGGCGTTGCTGCCGCTCGGGCCGGGAGCGCTGGCCCCCGCCCGCCTCCCACCGCTCGTCCTCTGCCTCCCGCCTTCCCTCTTCCCCGCCTCCCTGGCTCCCTGGCTCCTTCCCTCGCCCCCTCTTCCTCCTCCTCGCCGCCTCCGCCTCCGCCTCCGCCTCCGCTTCCGCCTCCGCCTCCTCCTTGTCTTCCCCCATCCCTTTCCCCGATCCCTCATGAACAAGCGGCGCGCGTGCCCTGGGTCTTGCACGAGGGAGCGGGGAGAGACAGGAGAGGTGCATGGAAGGCAGGGAGCTCCGAGATCGATGGCGCAAACGCAGGAATCCGAGGCCCTGGGGGGGGGAGGGAAGGCCAGGGAGGGCAGGGAGGCGGGAGGCCAGGGACACGACGACGACGAGGAGAAAGCAGTCCGAAGCCCTGGAGGGGGGGTGGGGGGGCAGCAGGCCAGGGGAGGCCTGGGAGGCCTGGGAGACTGGAGGCCTGGGCAACCACCCAGGACCGGGAGGCTGGAAGACCTCCTGCCCTGACGCGTCGATTAAGGGATTGGCCGTTTTCGGTCGCGAGGGGGCGTCGCGGCCGTCGTTTTTGCGGGTCCAGGCCCGTCGGTTTCGGTCCCGGGCCGTTTTCACGACGGGGAGGTTTGCCGAAGGGAGGTTTTGCCCACCGCCGAGGCCGCCAGGGAGGCCCAGGGGGCCCAGGGCAGAGGGGCCGGGGGAGGCCACGGCGCGGCACGGCACGGCAGGGCGGCACGGCGCGGTCCGATGCCGTGTCTGCGTGCGGGTGGCGGCCCGGGAGGCCGGAGAGCAGGGCCCCTGCCACTCCAGACGGGACGGAAGTGAGGAGGTCCGGGCTCTACATCAGGAGCGAAAGAAGGCCGTACATGTGCATGAATCCATGCTGGTTTCGAGAGTGCGCATTGCGCAGATGTTCGTATTACGCGGCCGGTCTCGCGGATCGAGGGGCCGTGTTCCTGTACATAGTTGGGCGCGTGCGTCCTTTGTGGGCTCCCTACTACAGTCAACCCGCATAGGAAGGATGGGCAACCTTCCCAAGGGTTCGGAGGTGGATAGGCCTCCTACCCTGACACGTCGACCAGCGAATTGGCCGTTTTCGGTTCGCGAGAGGGCGTCGGGGCCGTCATTTTTGCGGGTCCAGGTCCGTCGGTTTCGGTCCCAGGCCGTTTCCACTAAGGGGAGGTCTACTAAAGGGAGGTTTGTCCACCGCCGAAGTTGACCCGAATAATGGGCAACCTTCCCAAGGGTACCCTTGCATCCATGCCTCCTCGGCCCATCCTTGGCCACCTTCGTGGGCCGCGCCCCGCTCGGGAAGCTTTGGAAGGGGCGTCCAGGGCCCTTGCGTCCTCATCGCGCATCCTTGCTATACGGGTTGATTGTAGAACACAGCTGTGCAAGACAATAACTTCTCCCCTGTCGCCCCTCCCCCAAACGTATCGGTGGGGCGGGCTGGGCGTTTCGCCTGAGACCTCCTCACCGTTCATGGTCCTGAAGCTGGAAGTTTGCAGCAGGTT